TTTTTTTTTTTTACTTTTGTACAGATAAAATCATTTAAAAACTTAAAATTAAATTAAATAAAGCCTTTTACATAAAGAAATAATAATTAAAAAAATATTTATACAATAAAGACAACTAAAAAGTTTTTTTTAAAATAAAAAAAATTAATAAAAGTGCGCCTAGGTGGCCTAGACACGTATTTAGTGATCAATTTAGCTATTGACCGCTTAATTCGCTTTTACTGTCAAAGCAAAGCGATTTGTCTACACTTCATGCCTAGGTACGTATTTAGTGATCAGTTTAGCAATTGATTGTTTAACTCGCTTTTACTGTCAAAGCGAAGCAATTTGTCTACGCTTCATGGCTAGGTACGTTTCTAGAACACTACGTATATAATTCGCGGATCTTAATGTAATTCTTGGGGTAGGTTGTAATGTCAACCTAGTTGATTCTCACGTATTAAAAGACAAACTTATCAAAAGGAGAAGTAATTTTTTACTATACTACTCTATCCAATTGTTTTGTACCGAGGGTGGCCCACTGGCCCCACCGTGACACGGTCTATAACCTGAGGTCACTCCAAGTGCTAGGCCAAACCTGCGGGGCACGGCATGTTGACATCTGTTTTGGCCCCTTCCCCCGGGCACAACGTCGTAATTATTAATTAGAAAGAGCTACTAGCCCCCACCAACTTATAATTTCAAAAAAATTTGTCAAACAGGGACTCGACCATTTCATTTAGCATAATGTAGTAATTTGTCAATTCCCATGCATGCAATGCAAGCTTATCTATCCAATACATAACGAGGTTAAACTGAAAAACAGCAAGCACAGAGTGCTGTTTCCATTGGAATGAGCATTCTCTCGACGCCCTTCTCATCGGCATGTGCTTCAATAAAATGTGAATGCTTCTTCTTCTCCTTGCAGCCTTGACCGGGGCAAGAGTAAGTCTGGGATAGATAGTGACCTTGCCATTACTATGCTGTTGCCACCACCTCATTTTTTTTAAAATCATTTTCACCTCTAACTTACCTCTTTCTGTTGGCATCTTTAGCTTATTCTATTACTTTTCTGTGTATTTTATAATTGAGGTTACATCATGATGACAAATTACAGAAAGGTGGGCCAAAATAATTAATTTAGTAAGCACTTCAATAAAAAGGAATTTTATTTAATTAAGATCTTCATTTTACTGATTGGAGATTGTTTAGTTGAAAATAGCTTTTTTACGCAATATTCTTTTGCAATTAAAAGGTCGAAATTCAATATATAAATAGCAGAATTTAGTCCAGCAAGCAACTCTTGTTAGGGAATAAAATTCCACATCGAATAGAGATGAAAATATAAACTAATTTATAAAGATTTTTACTACTCCTCTTAATAATATTGATATTTTAAGATGGAATCTTAAGTCTTAATATAATATCAGAGTTCATTAAATTCCAATGAGCGATTCAATTTGATTAAAACTATAAAAATGAGCACAAGAATTTCAAGATTGGTTTGCTCAAATCTCACATCGAATAAAAATAAAAATATAGATTACTTTATAAGGGTTTGGATTACTCTTCTTAAAATATAAGCGCAGGAATTTCAAGATTGTTATATGCAAACAAGTCATCATTTTGTCGGGACATGTTGACCTTTTAAGATAGAACTCTAAAGAAGTGATGTTCGATTTTAAATTTATTCGCTTATGAACAATGTTTTAAATATCATAAAGTGCAACGAGACGGTGATGTCAAGTTTCAGGTTTTTACGAATCTAAACGGACTTAGGAGTAAAAAAAATGTAAAGCATGGTTAGACTGAAAAAAAAAATGAATGAATAAATATATTGCACCTGGATCAAGCATATGCAAGCCTTTTAAACACTGCTTACAGATACAGTGCAACAATTAAATCTTCGCAATAGCAAACACATCAAGTAATCATAATTTTGGTATAATGTGTTACAATTACCTAAGCCCTGTTTGACCATCATTATTTGAAATTTTTTTTTTTTATTTATTCATTTTTAATCACACATTCACACAATAAAATATATTGAACATAAACATAAAATTTTTCGTACTTTTTATTCAGTTAAACTGGCTAAAAGATTAATAACAATATTACGTTTCTTTTTCACCTTTTCCTTTCACAAAAGGGTTGAACCTATCAATATGTTTATTTATTTATTTTTACTAAAAATCACATGTAGCATAATTTATTGGGACACAAATTACCGCTAGTTAACACTATTGTTTGCACCAAAACCTAATTAAGTCAATTTTTCTCTTACATTTCGCAATAAGTAGGTGTAAAGAGAATATGCACGAAAGTAATTGTTCATTTAGAGTATTGTGCAGTGTAGCCTAACAACGCAAATTTCCTGAACTATTTGGTATTTGTAAAGAAATCTCAAGCCGAAGTCTACAAAGCAAAGAAGCTGTACCTTGTTCTTACGATCAGATGCATTGGCCTCGATTAGTAAACTCAAAACTATACATTAAAAACTCAAAATCAACGTTGTGCTTGCCAAATTAATTTGAAGCATATTCAACTCTTTGCTAGTGCAATCTGTGTGGAGCAAATCAATGCTAATGTCATCTTGCGTCAATAGCTGTAAGAGTGACAGTATTCAAGGAACTACTACTCTTTTGGCTCTGCTGAGAAGATCCCGTACCGGTATGAGAACGACTCCACTTTTCAGCAAATGCGGTTTGCTTAGGCACAGGAAGCTCGACAATTTCACTGCTAAGCATTGATAGAATGGCTGACATATTTGGCCTATCTTTTGGAAGTTCTTGGACACACAATAAGCCAATGTGTATGCATCTGATTATCTCTGCACGGTATCTTGGACTCAATATTCTTGCATCTATTAAAGCCACAGCATCGTCTTCATTCCACAGTTTCCATGCCTGAAATTTTTGAGTGAGTCTTGACAAAGAATCATTTGGGGGTATTATCAGACATAATACACATATATAAAGGTAAAAACTACTCAATTGACAGATAAGAGAGTGTATGTGTGTAGTGTGAATGTTAGTTTTGTTTGGGGGGATGGGGAGACTGGAAGATTAAAAAGGTTGTTATGGAACATCGACCAACCAAAAAGATAATGCTTTGACTGCGGACACGAGTAATCCACAGAGAACAGTAATAAAGAGCAGTGGTTATTCAGGCGAGACATACATTGAGTTAATGTAGTTGGGAATGTACGAAGATTAAAAATTTAATCCGAAATTCATAAGCTTTTCACTTGGAATTTCATTGATGATTTAGCATAACAACTTGTTCCAATGTCTTGTCTGCAAAAGAAAGAGACCATGAAACTTCAAGATTTTTTACATCTCAAAGATACCAAAAGATTGGATTATCAAATTTAGAATCTTAAAAGCACCAGGGGATTGAACTGCATCATGCCCAGCCTGGAAAAAAGTCAGTTGATAGGTATTAAAGTGCATTTTCCCAGCCCAAAAACAAATCTGAAATTCTGAAAATACGTGAACGCGATCCCAAACCTTTCCAAACCCATTTACCAAATCAAATTTACCTGAAGCCGATCAGGTTAAGTGGAAAACTTAAAATTCCCATTACGTATGCCCGCAATTACGCCTATTGGATATGATAGGCAAGTAAATAGGAGGATTTTTCTAAGTTCAAGAGAATCATATTTGGAGTAAATTTATGGTCAATCAGGTGCTGCTACAGCATAACAGTTCTTTTTGGTCAGATGAGTCCAGCCTAAGCACAATGTATGCTTCATATAAAGCTTGCACAGGAGCTCCCTTCTCGAGTAACGAGTAACTATCTTAACTCCAAAAAACCAGGAAAAAAAGGGTAAAAGCATAGTGACTAATCAAACGAAAAAATCTCATGTCCCAAATACAAATTGGGGAAATTTCAATTGACCTTTTTTCAGTTAAAATATGAAGAGATATATGTAACTTACATATCCCAAAAGGCTCAAAGATTTCTCGTTATTATAGAAGCTCGTGTTCTTTCTTCCACTAACAATCTCTAGCATCAAAACTCCAAAGCTGAAAACATCAGATTTTTCTGAAAATCTTCCTTCCAATGCATATTCAGGGGCCATGTATCCACTGAAACAATATCATGTAAAAATCTGAAAATTACCTTTTAAGTTATTGCACTAATCATTCAAAGCTAAATGAAAACTCATGGCTGAAATAAGTGAATACTAGCAACTCAAATTGGCCAAAGGCAATATAAACTTACTATGTTCCTACCACTCTTACAGTGCTGACATGATCTTGGTTAACTCCAAAAATTCTTGCCATGCCAAAGTCTGAAATCTTTGGGTTCCAATCATTATCCAGTAATATGTTACTTGGCTTCAGATCTCTATGAACTATCCGCAATCTAGAATCTCTGTGAAGATAAAGAAGGCCTCGGCCAATACCTTCAATAATGCTGAAACGCAGTCTCCAATCTAAGATCTCCTGCGATGGATCTACATAGACAACACCCGGAGGAAAAGAACGCATTATTTATAAAATCTGAACCACATTTTAAATAAATTTGTGTAGACTATGTTGTAATCAAATTCTTTAACAATAACATTAATTATAAAAATTTAACAGGAAGGGATGAATCTTGCACTGACCAAAGAGATGTGCATCCAAGCTTTTATTAGGCATGTATTCATAGACCAGCATCTTCTCTCCTCTCTCAACACTGCATCCCAGCAGTGTAACGAGGTTCCGGTGTTTGAGTTTAGAAATCAACGTCACTTCATTCATAAATTCTTTCATCCCTTGTGTAGATGCTCTTGAGAGCCTCTTGATTGCAATTTCTCTACCATTTGCCAATTGTCCCTAGAGAGGAGCAACAAGTTCAGCACTTCTAAATTCCATGAACCATGATACTTGAGATGGATAAGGATGAAAAGTAACCTTGTAAACTGGACCAAAACCACCCTTTCCAAGCTTGTTCGCATCGTGGAAATTGTCTGTTGCATTTGCAAGCATCTCAAATTTAAATAATGGTAACTCTTCGATGCTAGCGTTGCTTATATCATCTTCACGAGAAACATCAACTGAATCAGATGGGCGTACATCTCCATGTTCGGATGTTATTGTGTTGCCTGATTCAGGAGAAAAGTTATTAAGTGCTAGCTGCATAAATTTGCCTTGTTGAGTGAAATTTCTAAATATTACCTCTTGGCTTAGTCATAAATTTCCAGGAAAAATACATCACAATGGATATGGTAATCAAACCAATGATAACCATAACTATTATGATTAACTTAAAGTCTTTCTTATGACCTGCACAAAAGAAAAACCATCATATTGAAGAAGAAAAACTCAGTTGTTCTTAGCCGTGAAATAACAAACAATAACCTCATAGGGACAACAAGAAGAGCACAAAGTTTCATGCAAAAATTACCAAATTCCGAGTTTGCCAATCGAATGAAAAGATCCGAGCCTCCAGAGAATTTCTGAATGTTAACTAAGCTTCCAGTCCAGAACATACAGCCAATACCAGCGTCATGAGCATAGGCTATGCAGGAACAGTTCTTCAAGCACAGACCTTCACATTCAGATTCCCGACCAGGCTGCCGATCTCCATAATCTGGAACTTTCGTCATTTCTAGCTTCCAAAACCTATCTTCTTTGTTCCCACTATTGGAGCCATTGTTTGTTTCACACTGCAATTGTCTCCTCCTCACGCACCCACTTGTCCAGTTCTCTGCTTTCCACTCCCCCTCATCCTTCGGATAAAACCCTTGCAAACAGGTACAAATAGGCGAATTTTGTGAGTCACAGTTCCCAAATTGCCCACATGTGCCATTATCGCAAGTAGTAGTAGCCTTCTCAACTACGTTAATACTGCGACTAAATTTCATTGCTGTCAAGTATGAGCCCGAAGGTTGCTTAAAACTTTCCCATATTGCACGTCCACTCAAAGATTCCCGCAAAACAAGATTACCAGAATCCAATAGCTGGGCAGTCGTGTTCATCTTAGTAATTTTAACATTTGATGACCAAAGAATTTCCTTGTCCCCATTCAAAACGACAATATTCCCATCTTTATATATCATCACAGAACCAGAAGAATCATTCAAAGCTTTATCCCTATTTGCTACCCACACCACAGTGGGGTCGGAAACATTTTGGTTATACCAAATACCTAAATAACGCCCGGAGCTATTGACAGGACTGAAAAATCCCAATTTGAAGTTCCGATCCTTAGACACTATAGTTTCAGGGTCTTTAATAACTAGATTTGCTGTAATGTTGTCTGTTGATGTGCAAAATCTTAAAGGGCAACAGTAAAGCACAACAAGAATGCATAGAACAAGAGAATTCAGACTCTTACCCCAGATCATGATCAAGCCAATGCTTCTTGATTCTTGCTCTGATGTAACGATTTCTGATTACCAAGAACAAAGAAATTCTCCACCATTCAGTTTAGTGGGTCTAGTAGAATTAGATCATTTTCGACAAAAATTGGCAGCGTTTCTGTACAGAAATTCAAAGGGTGCAAGTTGCAGTACTATTTTTCTGAATCTTTAATGAAGTTTGAACAAAATCATGAACCACAAGCCATCAAAGAAGAATAGTAGTGTCTTGATGAAACCAGCGTGCTTTAGAGAAGTCTTTTCATTTCTTCTATTTTAGTACTTATTTCTTCTCCGGAGGTCGGCTGCGTGGAGAGGAAATAAATTGAAAAAGTCATAGCATCTAAGCCATAAGATTCTGGGTCTTGATTGATACAATTTCGCATTTGATTTTCATTATTTTTAAAATGTATTATTTTTTTTTTTTTTAATTACACGATCTTTAATAAAATAATATTAAACATAAATTTAAAATTTTTCTTTATTTTTTAATTATACATTCTTCATCAATCTACTATTTTAACATACATTCTTACACCATAAAATAGAAAACAATCAAGCTCAATGTTTTCGATATTTCCTCAATAATTTCCATATCTTAATAATGGCTGGTTGGCCTTTATTGACGAGGACAAGGACGTGTGTATTCACCGCTTTCAAAAGTGTCACGTATCTATCAGTCAAATATGTAGACATAATAAATATATTCAAAAGAAAAGGAAAATCATATATAATTAGTGTTTGGCATCAAAGAATTGATCATTAGAGAATCGAGGTTCCAACAAATTATTAGAATTTAGTAAACTGTAAAGACTTAACGTTTGCATTTGCTAAAGAGATTACAAAGGTTGAAGAAAAACAAAAACTTTTACCTCCCAAAAATGAGCGGGACCCACCCTTTTTTTCCTTCGAAAGAAAATGTGAACTTCTAATCTAATATTAAAGGACCAAAAAACTTTATGGTAAATTGGGAGTGTAACGTGCAACAAAGAAATAGATATTTCTGTAGACAGCTGAAATCACGACCACGAGACACTCGCCAACAGGTTTTCTTATTGGCCAAAATCTTAACTTTAGGGATTTATTGCTCGCTTGTTGGATACTCAAATGTCAAGTTCAGATTGTTAGTAATTCAAACCTGGATTTTGTCTTTTCTCTTGGAAGCCATCCAATCTGCCACGCGTTGTCGGGTTCGAACTAATGGCTAAGGATGGAACAATATGGTCTTTGCTCGCCGGGCCCAGCACTCCTACTCCTTTCCACAACAAAACATCTGAATCCAATAATAAAGCAAGCATTTAATTTCCCCGTAATGCACTGATGAATGTCCATAAAGGTTGATCATTAGGGAAAATTTGATCCAACATCCGATAATCACCTGCGGTTGCCTATGTTGGATCCCGGAGAGATAAAAAATTTAGGTTATTTATCTAATAATTCATTTTATTTTCAAACATTTCTAGTATCTAAATTGGTAAATTGTAGTCCTATGATTGAATCTCTTTTAAACCAATTTATTGTGCAATTTTTCCAGTTCTACAATTTTCACGAAAACAAATGCAATAGAGAGGGGATTCGAACATATAAGCCCTCTTTAATTAAGATTATTACAAGCTTGACCATCGTGACACTTGTTGAATTTTAACACTATATGTAACCGAGTAATATATGTTCAATTTTAGCGATTTTAATACAATTGGAAATATTCCAACTTGTGCTCTTATTTTGAATTATACAAAACTTGGTCATTTGGTGAATATTGTTGATATATATAATAGAATTATATATGTTTTTAAATATTTTATTGCCGTTGACGGTTAATGACCGCCCATACTCACAAAAAATTCTAGATCCATCACTGTTTATAGGTGTATAATCATCCCACAGTAGTTATCCATCAATTAAATTATATTCATAATTAATCAATTAATACAAATAATTAAATTAAAACAAAATTTAAATTAACAACAAAGCATTACAATTGGAGATCCACTTAAATACATAATCTTATCTTCAATTCTCCTTCTTTTCTTCTGTAATTTCTTTCAAAGACATAATAATTTTATTCTTCTCCATTGTCTTGTTGGAGATATCGATACTATCACATTTTTTCATAAAATTCCTCTCATATTTCCCATCGATAAGTTTAATTCAGATTCCAATAAAGAATATTAGGGGATTGATTATTCGTAAGAATGCGGCAGGTAAATGATTGCAATTATTTGAATACATAATTTTAAAAAAAAGGAATGGTAATAGCATATGAATCCGTTTTCAGAAAGGTTGGCATATTATCCCTATTTGAATTTAATTAATTTGTTCTTTGCTTCGTATATTCTTCATTTTGATTTCACGTAATGGTGTGTGTATATATATATATATATCTCTCTCTCCACACACACACACAAAAACAAATTAGCGAATCACAATTCGCAACAAAAAATTCAAAATTCAAATGAAAATCAGTACAAAAATATCATGTACCTTCGATTTATAACTTTTAATGTGGAAACTGGAGACCCTGATCAATTTATACATCGACTCTCATGTGGAGACCAACTACTGCGGGCATTGCGCTCAACCACTACCGTTGCATGGATTTCTGAAATTGAAGATTCAACCTTTGGTTTTTCTTCCTCAAATGTTCTCTCTTTTTTCTCAACCAATGGCGAGATTAGAACCAAACCAAATAAAATGAAAATCGAATGGTTCAGTTTCCGATTTTGTTTCATATCTTAAAAAAAAAAAAAAATTAATTCTATTATCAAAAAATCATTGGTTCGTAGCTCGGTTATCTTGGAACCAGAGCCAAGTGGAACTATATCCACCCTTAGTCCCTAGACCCAACGTAAAAAAAATTACTTATTTTTATCATTATTTTAAATACTTAGTCATTTTAAAAATTAAAGTAATACACACCAGACATTTAAAATTATAAAATACTATGTTAGTCAATTTTCAAAATGCAAAAAGGTAGATTATTTTTCATAGTTTCAACTTTCAAATATCTAAGTCTTAATTAATAGATTTATAGAAACTTTATAAATACTTTCGAAGTTTCAGACAAAACATTAAGTCTCAAATTGATAATTATATAATATTGATAGCATCGTTAAATCTTATCTGAATCTTTATTGGATAAAGTCGTTTTTTTACTTTTGTACAGATAAAGTCGTTTAAAATGTGAAACTAAAGTTAAATAAAAATCTTTTAAAAAAACGTTTTGTCCACATAATTCGCTCTTATTGTCAAGGCGAAACGTTTTATATGTGCCTTGAGCCTAGGCGATGCCTTTTTGGAATACTATTATTGATCGAGTAAAAACTACTCAAATTTACGAAAGATGAAAAATATGTTAGATCCTTCGTATTAAAGTAACCTTGACTAGAAAATAAGGGTAATTTTCTTTGCACCTCAATCAGACTAATGCATTCAATTTATAGGGGCAAACTATAATGATTTTCAGTCTCAACTATACAAGCAAAATCTGAAATAATTAATATTAGTTGCCTCACTTTGTAGGGTACTTGTCATGGGTCGGTTGATTGGTCACGTTCGAGTAAAATTCACAAATTTACTAAACATTTAAACTAGAGTGCTAGTCACATTTAATTGAATAGAATTCGACGAGTCAAAGATGAAATATCTTTTATAAAGTACCACTACACTATCAATCCAAAAGGAAAAACCGAAAAAACTCTTTAGATTATTGTGATTTTCTTGAAAATGTCAATACAGAAATTTAGCACGCTGTCATTCGGGTACACATCTTATTTTTTATGCTAATTTTTGCATCTTCTACGATATAGGTAACTAACTAGAGGATTTTATTAAAATGGTGTGTAGGAAGTCCCAAATCATCGTCCACCAAGCGTTGTAAGAGTGACATTGTTAATGGAAACTCCCATTTGGGAAGAGGTGACATGAGAACGGTTCCACTTCTCAGCAAAAACTGGTTGCTCCGGCACAGGCAAATTTACAATTTCCCGACTGAGCATTGCAAGAATAGTCGAAATTGTTGGCCGGTTATTAGGGAATTCTTGCACACACAATAGTGCAATGTGAATGCACCTCACCATCTCTCCCTGGAATTCGACTTTGTATATCGTTTCATCTATGAAGGCTGAACCATTGTCTTCATTCCATAATTTCCATGCCTGATACAATAGATCAAATATAAGATCCTGATGAATATTTGAAAGCACAAAAAAGGGAAGATTACGAAGTGGCTTACACATCCCAAAAGGCTTAACGACCATTCATGATTGTAGAAGTTGGTGTTCTTTTTCCCACTCACAATTTCTAACAACAGAACACCAAAACTATAGACGTCAGATTTTTCAGAAAATCTTCCTTCCATTGCATATTCTGGTGCCATGTATCCACTGCAAGAATATGATAAATTCATGTAAGTATGAATCAGCCAATATTAAAAACCGAAGGCATATTTACAGTATTATTTCAATACTGCATACCAAACATGCCTTTAATGGGAACAATACTTTCGTCAATTCAACATTTGCTTACTAAGTTCCTACGACTCTTCCAGTGTTGGCTTGATCTTGGTGGCCCCCAAATATTCTTGCCATTCCAAAATCTGAAATCTTTGGATTACAGTCCTCATCCAGCAATATGTTACTTGGTTTCAAATCTCTGTGGATTATCTTTAGTATAGAATCCCTGTGAAGATAAAGAAGGCCTCGCCCAATACCTTCGACGATACTAAAACGTTTCTTCCAATCGAGAATCTTCTGTGATGGATGTGAAGGATCTACATGAATAAAAGCAAATTATTAAAAACCTATAGTAGAAGATGTTCTGAAAGGAATGATGACAGAGTTGAATTTCGACTAACCAAACAGAAGCACATCTAAGCTTTTATTAGGCATGTATTCATAAACGAGAATTTTCTCTTCTTTCTCGACACAACATCCTAGTAATTTAACAAGATTTCGATGTTGGAGTTTGGAAATCACATCCACTTCATTCAAAAATTCTTCCATTCCTTGTCCAGATGCTGCTGAAAGCCTCTTTACTGCAATTTCTTGTCCATCTGCCAATTTACCCTGGATTCACATTAACAGCAATTTCAGCACTAGAGCTATACAAAAAGTAGCACTGGGCGCAAAAATTACCTTGTAAACAGGTCCAAAACCACCCTTGCCAAGCATATTGTCATCATGGAATTGGTCTGTGGCAATTGCAAGTGTCTCAAAGGTGAATAATGGCATCTCTTCAAGATTAACTTTATCCATATCATCTTGAAGCACTACTTCGGCCGAATCTGATGGATATGTTTGCCCAGCTTCATACAACTTCGCATCTACTTTTCCTTTTGCTCCTGGTTCCACAACGAAAATCATAGATACATACACACTCATGTAAAGCCCAATGAATAATCCATAGGTCATTCTGTGTTACCTTTTCGCCTAGCCATCAACCACCGATAAATGAATATACAAATCAAAATGGCAACCAAACCCGCAACTATTGGAATGATAATAATCAGCATTTTGTCTTTGTGCCCATCTGAAAAAGGCAAATATCAAATCACTTATGTTAGAATTAATAGATAACGAGTTCATAAAACATTATATGGCAAGTTATCTAAGACAACATAATTATATGTACCTAGTTCCGAAGAAGCTAGACGAATGTAAAGATCAACACCAACGTCAGAGAATTGCTGAATGTCTATCAATTCTTGGCTCCAGAACATACAACCAATATATGTGTCGTGTGCATAGGCTATGCACGAACAATTCAGCGAGCAGAGACTTCTACATTCCTCTACCGTCCTAGAGGGTCCCTGTTCAGCAAAATCCGGCACTTTCATAAATCGGAGCCTCAAGAATCCGTCTTCTTTGCCACCGCTGCTCGTATTATTATTTCGATCACAAAGCAATGGTTTCCTTCGGATACATCCGCCAGCCCAGTTTCCTCTTCCCCATTCCTCTGAATTCTTTGGTTCAAACCCACTCAGACAAGAACAAATAGGCGAACTCAGAGCATTACAACTCCCAAATGGCCCGCAAGTCCCATAAACATCACATTCTTGTTGAGGAGCCGACCATGTCTCATCCCAATGCTTTATCTTATCATTCCACAGCGTTTGAACCAAACTCCCCGCTGAATTCAAAGTAAATCTCATCAAGAATTTCCCCTCTGGCGCAGTGAAATAGTAAGTTCCTGGAAGATCATTTCCCACAGTGAATTCATCATTGTATACAGAATACATATCTTGTACACCAATTAGAATCTGCCCATTCCATGGACCACTTCGCCAGTGTGGACGATTCCCATTCCAGGTATAGATTTGAGGAATATTCAGAGCCTGGAGACCCACTGAGAAATTTCCAACTTCTGGATCCGTCGGGGTTTTCCAGGACGACAGGACCACCTTATTACCTGTATTTATGTTGTGAACTAACCTCAAGTGAGGCAAAAAAGTATTGGACGGATGTTCAAAACTTTCCCACAACGTACGCCTACTCGACTTATCTAGCAGAACAAGATTTCCAGTGCTCAAAAGCTGGGCACTTGCATTAACCGAAGAGGTTGTAACATTTGATGACCAAACAATCTCACTTTCTCCATTCGTTAGTACTATATTCCCATCTCGGGATATCGTTATACTGCCGGAAGAACCTGGAATAGGCTTGTCCCTGTTGGCAACCCATATCACTGTTGATTCAGAAACGCTGTAAAATACACCCAAGTAGCGGTTCTTGGTGGCATTATCAGGGGAGAAAAAACCCAATTTGAAGACGTTGTCTCTTGATGATATGGTGTCGGGGTCTTTTAGGACAAGATTTCTCGTAATAGTGTCTGTTTCTGCACAAAATCCTAAACGAGGAAGACATAGAAGTGTGAATAGGGACTGAAGAACGAAAAGTTTAAGGATTTGGCTATTGGACATGGTTAATTCAAATAAATTTGTTGGAGAAAATGCCATTATGCGAGAAGTTTGAAGTTTTCCAAGCAAATTATCGCTACTGGTTTTTGTTGGCAAAATCTACATCGATTCTCAGTTATATAAGGCCACTGAGGGGACTCGAAGTCAAATCTCAGTCTTTGATTTTCCACACTAGACTGGGATGTCAAGATACTACGTCAATGTTATTTACGCGGTTCCAGGTTGGAGTGACGCTGGGGGCGTGTTACTCGATGGTTTATGTTTCATGATTGATCAAGCTCTCTCACTTACGTAGACTCGTTGAACACTTAACACGACTCTTTTTGAAAATTCTCAGCATTTGACTCTGTTTCGTAAAATTTATTATTTGATTCTTATTTTTTCTATTTTTCATCTTTAACTTATCCTATGTTTGGCCCCCTTTTTTATTTTTTTCAAAAACTCATTATTTTTAAAACTCATTTTCAGCCACACGTTCTCATATAAAATGATATTACTCAAAAAAAAAAAATTCTTTATTTTTTAAACACACAATCTCCAACAAAATACTATTGAAAAATGTATTTTAGCCCAACAAATGGGACCCAAACAAGGGCTCAGTTATGTTTGATATTGCCTTAAAACACATCATTACAAATGTGGATCTCATGGTGTTCATATGCCCCACTGAAATTCGATTCCACAAAGAACCATAATTCAACGCTTTCATACTAGTTTTGGTGAAAGTCAAGTAGATGAATGATATGAGAGCAGAATAAAATTAATGAATAAACGTCTAGGCAGTGGAAAGTAGTAAGTAGAGCAAGTTGAGTACTCGATTGGAGGTCCTACAAATTTGATTAAAAGTTACTAAACTTTCAATTAACGTACAATCGAATTATTCATCTTTAATTTTGAGCAATCGGGTCACTCAACTTTGATTTATGTGCAACCGTGGTCACTCCATCTATTGCCGTTATTCTAACTAACTTGATATGTTGACTTGATCTTTAAATTAGTGGTATTTTCAAATTATACTTTAATGTAGGAGATGATGAGTAAGATTTTGCACTTATCCAGGCCACCGAAAACAAACATTTGAGTGTTTTTATAGTTTAAATACTTAATTATGTGTAATTATTGATTTTTTTACGAGAAACTTGGTGTTTGATTATGAAAAACGAACATAAGGGAAAATCGATCAATTAGGACTGAAGGAGGACGAATTTGAAAGTCGGGACTAAAGTGCGAAGTTTGGAAGTTAAAGAACATATATTACAATAATGAATGACTTGGGCTAAACGAGAAAATGGATTCAAGTATTGAATTGCAAAGGAATTGAAAATTGACCCTTGCGACCGCAAGGATCTATAGTTACGTTCACTAGGGGTTCAATTAATGAGCCAACAGCCAAATAGATCCTACCTTGCGATTGCAACTCTCTTAACAGTAAGATAACATGGCAAAAATGGAAGCCCAGAAATTCGACTAAACTTCTGATTCAAGAAATCTTGGGGTTTGATTATAGACCTAAGTAGGAGGATATAAATTAGTGAGGCAAAATAAATAATTACATTCGTAATTTTCAAGATTCTTGGCGAGAAGTCAGGATTTGAACACGGAATACCATCGATTTGTCGGGATATTTGCAACAATCGAGCAAGAGCAGAGGATCTATTGTTGGAACTTGTGTGGCGAAGATCAACAATTGCTCGGATTTCTTTTCTCTTTATTTATTGCAATTGAACCCAAATATATTTTATATCTTTTCTTCGTATTTTTTAAAAAATTCTGAGTAGCTAATTGTTTGTCTTTTTAGGATGAATGACGTAGTTCAAGTTATTTATATTTAATTAATTTAAGGACTTCATGCCCATATTTATGTTGTGTTAATTGCTTATTTTGTCCACGCCAACATATTACATTACTTAGATTGACGACGTTAGATAGAGTGGCCACAGTTAGAACCAAATCAAGTTGAATGAACCGATTGCTCGAAATTAAAGATTAGTGACCCAATTGCATGTTTGTCGATGCATTTAACAATTAATCAACTCCCATGACTTCACCCAATTCTTGTTTATGATCATAATGAAGCAGCCCTTTTGAGTTTATATTTTACGACATGGTATCGCTTAAAAAAAGGCACTAACAGTGGCGGATCCAGCACTCAGCGAGCTCTGGCGGCTGCCCGTGCTAGATTCGTTGATATTCAATTTTTTTTGGGTCAATGTATTTATTATTTGAATGTATATCATGATTTTCATTTTTTTTTCTCACAAAGGCTTATGTGGTTCAATTGGTCAGAGTACCTTACAAGTATATTGAAGTCTTGGGTTCGACTTTCAAATGTGGCAATTTTTTTAGGTTAAAAATTCTGAGTGCCTTACGAGTATACCGAAGTCTTTGGTTCGACTCTCAAACATAGCAATTTTTTTGGTTATTTTAGGTTAAAATTTCTCACGATTTTGGAGCATATATGTAATATAAAAATTGGTGCACTTAGAGGATTTGAACCTGTGAACTCCGTTAAAATTATAAAACACTTGACCACTATGGCATTTGTGACATTTTAAGTAACAAAATGCTATATGTTCTTTTATCAAATAATCAATATATTCCCCCATTGTTTTTTATAAAATATTTTAACTAAAATTCGACCTTTTAAAAATCTTTTTTTTTTTTTAGTCTGAAATTATTAATAAGTCGAACAAAGAAAGTAAATAATTGGATCTATTTTTAAACTTCGAATTGTTATTCGATAAACATTATTAGACTGGTAGATAACGTACAACCACATTTACAATTCGAATTACGATATAAGTAATTTCAGTTCATGACATTGGTTATTATAGCGGCAGTCAATGGTCATCGACTACTCGTGCTTCCTCAAAATCCTAGATCTGCCACTGGGCACTATGCATCATATGTGTGTTACCTACATAAGCATTGACCAGTTCAAGGTCAATTTTCGTGTGGTAGATATGGAGGCATCGTTCACTTTCCTCTTGAAGATATATGAGATGAGTGGAGCTATGCGCTGAGGTCTCATTAGTCGAAGAAGACCCTGGCCAATCCATGTGGCTTGCTTGACGAACATCAGCGACGGAAGCACGCAACTCCAAAAGGAAGCTCTGTTATTCATCCTATGCTTTGTTAGAGGACAAGACTGGTTTCTTTGTTTATGTCGTAAAAAAAGAAAGGCGTCTTTGAGCCCTATCACCATTTTTGTGTTTGAGGATGTCTGATCTTTCAAAAATAGAAACTGATAACAGATAGATTTACAGAAGAAATATGTCTTCAATACATACTATTTTTCTATTGTATTAAAGATAAAAGTCACATTACAAAAAAAAAAAAAAAACAATGAAATATAACATAATGACATGGGAAAAAATGTAGTTCTTTCGTCTTTCAAGCATTGTAGTAATACTGAAATGTTGGAAGAGCCCCTTGTATTCGTATAGCTTTGGGAGGAGAGGAGGAGAAGAAGACGACGACGACGACATCAAGTTTTGTGTAAATGCAGGTTGCTCTGACCAACTTGGGTCCCACCACAACATATTCATAAACTCTTCCAATTAATTAGTTAGATTAGCTATAGGGTTAAGTTCAACAATTATAAAATTCTACGAAATTTAGCTATTCGATTAAATTTAGGTTTAATTGGAACTAGACTAAATACTTAGTCCTAGTGTGATCTATATTTGGACTTATGTCTACTTTATTACTTGTTTTACAATATTGTCCACTTATGAAATTTTAGCGCTATAAGTTTTTCGGGTCGCTGCCAAGAACTATTGTTATTTCATTTTAGTTTATATATTATTTTTAGCTTTTGTTTGATTTATTAGGGCACATGAAAACCCAAGCACCCACGTTTCAAGATTTCTTCGAATGTCCCATAATATCTAATTCTTAAGTTTACATGATGATGCAATCAAACTTGGACTATTTCCATATACATTGAGAAACAGTGCATTGAAATTTTTAGATTTTGAGCCACATGCTAGTATTACTACCTGAAATGATTTAGTAAGGAAATTTTGTAACAATTATTTCTCACGTGCAAAACTAGAAAAAATGAAGTTGGAAATCTCCACTTTCTGCAATTTGAAGGAGAAAACTATCATGGGCATGGGACACATTTAAAGAGTCACAAAGGAAGTGTTCAAGACATGGGATAAGCAATTATTAACATGTGCAGTACTACAATGTTGGACTTCCACCCCTTTCTAAGTCTCAGGTAGACTCCTCAGCAAATGGGTCCATTTCGAATAAATAAATGAATATGCATTGGAATTATTTCAACTGATTTTAAAGATAAAATTCTATGATATTCTCAAATCAACTAGTCCCAAAGAAAGTGGAAGCTCTACATAAATTAGACAAAACATT